GAAACTCTTCTTTGACCTTGCTCAGGATGGCCACAGGCATGTAGCCACTCAAATTATGGTAATAAAGACTGTACTTTTTAGGCATTTTTAAATATGCATTTCATGGGGAGCTATGGGAGAGAGTTCACTAAACTGCAAAATGCCTATGCATACAGTTCTGTTGCCTTTATTTTCACTGGACTGTATGGAAGCGATTATTTAGTGACTGACAGAGCTATGGGTTTTTTTCTGAAAGTATTTACGTGGTACTAAGTGCTAAGAGGCCAGTAGTCTCACTTGACTGCATTGTCTGTCTACCAACACCTATTCTTGGCTTCAGAAAAATATTGTGAGATGCTGCTAGCCAGGCTGGGCCTTAGCTGTTACTGCAGCGCCTGTCAGAAATCGTTAGCTAGTGATCTCTTTGACTAACGTTCCAGTTGATTGTCTGATTCATGTTCAAGATCTGTAAATGAGGCAGAAGCATCTTTACTGCTCACCAGCTGTGAAATGGCTAAACACTGCTAGATTTTCAGAAATCAAAATAGATGTATTTCCAGTAAGGTTTGACAACAATATCAAGAGCAAAGCTGAGAGCAGAACTATGTTTTTGTGTTTTTTAAAGTTACAATATTATAAATCAATATTATCTGATCATGTTTTTGTCAGAGTAATGTATGTTACCAAAATAATGAAATACTGGTGGTAGCATTAATCTTGTGTTGAGTTAGATAGACATTCTGCATTCAACATAAATTCATACCTTCGATTTTTACTCTTTTGTTTGTTATTGCCAGATTTATCAATGTTTAGCACAGCCTATGTCCTTTTGTCTGAGTCCTCAGCGTATGCCAATGAGGTGTGTGCATGTTTTTGTGTACGTACAAAAGGACAGGTGTGGCAACAATAAAAAATAAAGGGTGGGATTTGGAGGAGGGGGAGTCTTGGGGGAGGAGCTGGTGTATCTCTTTTATGTTAATGGAATAACCCCAGGAGGATCACGTTGGCATAATGCTGAGATAACTGAGAAGCAAATCTGAGCCTGAGATCTGACTAATATTTTTCTTGGCAGAGGAGATAAATGTGGAATTCACCACTACCTAGAGAGTTAGTGCAAGAGCTATGCCGCAAATAAGCTCTAGTTTGAGGATTTCAGCAGAGCTTGTTATAGTACTTTATTTTTACGCTGTAGCTTATTGTAGCCGCAATAGACTTACAAAGACCCAGGAAGAGAGTTGATTTTGTGAAATAGATGCACCCACAGTAGCTACCCTCCTTCCAGGTGCACCTGCGTCCAGCTTTTAGTGCTAAGCAAGAAAACAAGGGAAATTACACAATTCATCCTGATTTTTTTTACTATTATTTCTGTTTTGCAGCCATAAAACCTACTTTTTTTTTCTTTTTTTCCTGCATACACCAAAATAATAGCGGATGGCATGTGGCACAGTTGTCTGTGATGTGGAAGACAAAGCTGAAGTCTTCATCCTGCCAACTTCCCACATCTTACACAAATGAGAACAACTGATTGAAACCCACTGTTCATCTCTCTAATACACTGATTTTTATTTTATTTGGTTTTTAACCAGTATTTCCACTGCGGACCTAAAGAAGTAGGAAGTTTGAGACATATAGCCAAAAACTAATTTGTGACCAGAATCAGTGCAGTTTTTATAATTTTAATTTTGTTAAACTTACCTTACATTTTCTTTTTAGAGGTAGAAAGAACTGTACATTAATCTGTTTAACTGCATATGTAAAGACGTCTTTCCACTGGTTGCTGGGACTATCAAACTCTGAAACAGCATGGAAATTTTATAATGGAACCTAGCTTGATCAGGATAGATCTATTGCAACAGCTTCCTTTCTCAGAACTCTTTGTACATAGCAAATTTTAAAAAACAAAACAAACAAAACCCCAACAGAACAACAAAAAAACCAAGGCATTTTGCCCCTTCAGTAACTCTAAAGCTCTGAAAACTCTGTTGTATTTTTGAGAAGGAAATTTGGCCAGATGCGTGTAATACTCAAATCCACTCTTTTTAATGTACATTATCAATATAGATTCTTATGCAGTCCCATTCAATGTATTTTTATAAAATGTTACGTATTTTTATTTACATTTCCTGAGCGTGAAGAAAACTACCAAGATGACATTTTAATGTACAGTATTTACCATAGAATACTGAAGCAGAAGTATGTTACCTTGATAAGAAGACTTTTTTCTGTTGTCGAAAATAATTTTTCCATCCTTTGTGTAATGACAGCTGTATTCTCCAAGACTACAAATGCAGCAAACCTGCACATTTGTGTAGGAGTTTTCAGCATTACTTGTTGACATGTTCCACCTCTTCCTTGGATATCACTGTCATCTGCACAGATTGGCCAAAATATATGTAAAAGACCCATTTCTGGCTATGCTTCTGTCTGAAGGTAGAAGAACTTCTGTGAGAGACTCTAAATTCCATTAGATCCAAATGATGTGTGTTCCCACTATTGATGCACTTCTCAGAGAGCTGATAGATGACTGGCCCAGCCATGCCCACTCAATACTCTCTTGCCACATGCATGTCTTCTCTTACGTGGTATTCATAGGAGCCCAGTTAGATGGACTGGCTGTTCATATCCTGTGAAAATAAACAGAGAAGTTTTTATGTCCATTGGTTGTTTTCAGGCTCCCTACAGATTTTAGAAGACATCACTGTGGCAATTCCTCTTGATTTGCCAGCAGATAAGCTTTATAATTTTTCATTTTAAATGAAAATTGGAAGCATGCTGTAATTGCAAGAGACTTTGGATGAAATCCTCCAATGCTTACCTGTTAATCCAGCAGTTTATACTGCCCTACCTCCTCCTTTTCTATCCTGAATGTAGAGGGTAAGGCATGCACCATAGGCGAGGAGGCCGCCCTTCTACTGGGCAATTGTAGCACACAGGGGCACTACACAGCTGCTTTCCATCAAGGATGCGTCCCTTTCTGTGTCCCTGCATAGTATCTGAAGCTGGAGGAGTTACCTGAAATACAGACCTAAAGAGTGTATTTTCTATTATAATTTATCAAGTTTTCCTCCCTTTCATGTAGATGGTTTAATTATCATTATTTCATCATTATTTAGAATGAAACATCTCATCTGTGTAGAGTAGCAGTAACCTGGGACTAAAATGAGCACTTTTCATCGATGTGAAGGAGTGGCTTTATTTATTTACTACTTCTTTCTAGCAGCTGTTGAAGAGATGCAGTGAGTGAGCTTTTTACTTTGGCTACTCCATGTATGGTTTTTCCTTGTTTTTGTGATATCTTTGATAGAAAAAAAGTACAGTAGTCTAAGCCTTAGGTACCTCAGTAACCATTCTGTGCTAGGTAGTAACCACTGGAGGCCCTGTGTCCTAGTTCGATATTGTAGAGGCCAGTTTAAAGTAGGAGTGATTTCTCCCCAGTACATAAAATTTTGGAAACATCCTGAGACTCTTATAGCAGGTTTTCTGATATGGGCACGATTATTACAACAAATGTTGTAGGTCCTCTAAGTTAAATGCAAAACCAAGAACAGTTTCTTGGACACTTGCATGTATTTGTTACCATCCTGGATTATTAGAAAGACACACTGCAGGCCTTGACAACGTTGAGTATGCATTCGGTTTAAGGTGAGTTCTGAACTGATGTGACAAGTTCCTAACTGAGGTGCCTGCACTCTCTTTTTGTCATGTCTTATGCATTGATTACTCAACTGACAGTGACCTTCAAGTACAGGATGCAATGCTGATGTACATGAGAACATAACTGATAAGAAAGTACATGAGGGATGATAAATAGTGCAGCGCACGTTAATAAATGCTACTTTTTTGTGCACACAGAGCTTATATAACTAAAATATAAGAGCCGTGTCCAGGGATACTCTTGCATATAGTAAAACTCTTTCAAGAACTAGGAAGTATCAGTAGTGGAAACAGTGAAAGAAATGATGACATCCGTAGCATTAGCACACACAAGTTGTCGTCTTTTGAACCACGCACTGTGCCAATGACAAGGCATGCAGTCTTAGTAGAAAAAAAATGCCCTGTCTTTTACCTGAGTATAAATAGGCATCTTGGGGCATGCAGGATACTGTCGTATGTCCCATCCCCCTTCAGAGCTGGTAAATGACATTCGCTACTCCTTTCTTGGAAATGTGCAAAAAGGATTTCCATAGATAGTCTTTGGAGATTTCCTGTTTTGTCATGTGTGTAATAGGTTGGGTCAAGCAACAAAGAGGAGGTAGGAGAGAATAGGATTTAATTTTATATGCATTCACCTGTCATCACCATTAGGGAAAAAAAAAAAGGATGAAAAGAGAAATTATGCAATACAGGTGATGTCAGTGTTAAATAAAATTAAGATCATATGTTTTTATGCAGCAGCTGTAAGCCTTCAGTTATGGGAGCGGTCATGATAATAGACTGCGTTCCCAAGGAATGTTAAAACATTGCTTGTGTGCATGAGTAATTAGTCATAAAAATAACAAGATTATCTACAGTATTTTAAGTCAACCTAGTTTAAATGCATAACCTATAATTTATTCACTTTTGGGGCATCTAAATTATACTTTTAAAAGTTGTCATAGTGAGAGTTTAAAGAAAGAAAAATAATATTAAGTTGTATTTCAGCATTATCATTCTAAAATACTATGAATGCAAAGGATACTGTCTTAAGGTATCCATTAACATAAATTCATAAAATCACAGCCTCCTAAACTCTTCTAAATTATGTACAAGGAAATTTATATTGCAAATCAGGTAACATCTCTTTGGGTTTTGTAATGTGCCAAAATGCAAGGATTTAAATGCAAGTTGTATCTTTTCAGTTAGTAACTGAGTACTTTCAAACAACTATAAGTAATGATCAAAAATGTAGTCCCATTACAACTAATTAAAGAAGAAATGTACAGGTGGAAAATCTTTGTGTTTCATATGAACACACAGACCAGAAAAAAAAAAGTGGAATTTCTAGCATTGTATTTATTGAGTTTTCTCTTTCTGTTTCACAGATTTTGAACACCTCTGTAAAAATCTTCACAGCACTTTGTGATTCTGCTGGCCTAGGCAGAGCATATGCAGCTATAGCTGAGATCCTGGTAAGGTAGGTTATCACATCCTTGTCTGGCTGTCAGTGCACATTCATTCAACTGTGAAAGACTTAAATTGTTAGAGGTCTGTCGCTTCCCATTACTGACTGCTTAAATTTTAAGCAGTGCCCTTCTTGCAGTAAGTGACCCTTTCATTGAAAGTTATTTTAAACTGGTACACATTTTTTAAAGTGGATGATCCGAGCTTTTCTTTACCTGTAAGCTATAATATGCCTTTTTTCCACCACATTTTGGGGGCTTTTTTCTTTTTTTTTTTTTTTTCCCAAAAGTGTGGGAGGGAACTTACTGGAAAATAGAAATCCAGGCATATTTTCCAGGTTAAAAAAATAAAACCTTGGATAATTTAACAAGGTCCAGTAGGTGTCTCAATGTAATCTTTCCTGAACTGTAAGTTTTCATTTATTACACTCACTTCTTCTGTGGAGGCATTTCTGGTTTGTGCATGTGTAACTAGATACATGTTTGCCTGTATAACTAAATACATATTTGTTGCAAATAAGTTGCTTGTTTTCAATGTTTTCATTTCAGCATCTGGCATTAAAATCTTCTTCCAGGTGAATTAGTTTGAAACTGCTTCAACTTCTTATACAAATAATTTTGACATAAAATAGTTTAATGCAATTATCATGTGAAGTAAGAAAAGAGGCAATTAAAGTGAAGATTGCAGCTTATCCTTGTTTCATCCTATGTTTGGGTACTTCAGTGCATGTGATGCATGATAGAGGTCGGCAAACTGTTTATGGAGGAGGACTTGTCACCAGGTTTATTTCTGTGTGTGGAGCAAATTCTCCTGTTTGTGTTTGATGCCTTGTCACTTGGCCTTTCTAAGCATGTAGGGACCAGCCACAATCACAGTGCTCTTCAGCTCTCTGATACATAATTCGTGGATATTCATATTCTGAGCATCCAAAATAAGCGCATGGCATAAGATGTTCAGAAAGCCACAGAACATACTTAAAATACCAGGTCCCATTTTCAAAACTGTCTTAAGCTTAACTGAGAAAGATTTAGTTCCTGGGACAACAGCTGTTACAATGAGTGGCTTGGCAATGAGTGCAAAGGTGTCCAAGTTCTCAGTAGCATTCATGGTTTCCATAAATTCAAAAAGAAGCTGTTTGGGTAGAGGGTACCCTAAGATAGCCAAAAGGACTTTCTAGAAAACCATGTATATTAATTTTCTCTCTCTGTGATTCAGGCATTCTGGAATGAGAGCACATACATTTATTTACTCAGAAGTTACAGATACAGAGATCCTTTCAAAGTCAGGTTTCTAAACCCTTCATCTGAAAGACTATGCAAGTGCAAATTTTTTTCTTAAAAGCACAGCTAAAGAAGGAGTGGCTAGTGATTTTCTTCGGAGTCAGATCTGTACTCCACACCTTCTAGGAGCATTCATTAGCTGATAGGACTGTAGCTGATAGTGGGAATGGACAGTCCCACTGCTTTCCAGTTGTTGCAGTTTGAAAAAGAGGAAAACGGTTAGGTAAGGGGAGATAAGAGGGGAAACTAAAAGCAACTTCACAGTTCAATATTTAAGGCTTTCTCCTAGAGAGGACCATTCTGACTTATTCAAGTCAAGAAGGGACTCATTCTCATGTCTGGGATCAGGGTTTTAACTGCTAATCTATTGCTCAGGTAAAGTCACAACCATAAACCCTTCCTCTGGAAAGTAGCTACTGTGGCATTTTTTATAAAACCGATCTGGTAGTTATGCTATGAGAGCATTAACCAAATTAAACACCTTACATATGTGTCTGCTTTGAAGAGCTTTAGGTATGTGATAAGCATAAACTTCTCAGCCCTGTGAAAGATCATGATGATTCTCAGCACCTTTCAGCCACTGAAGAAACTTTTATGTAGAAAGGCCTGGGCACCTGTGAGTCAGAGCCGAATTCTGACATTCAGTTGCCCAAAAATTCAAAGCATCACAGTTCTGGATTCATGCTTCAAAACCTTAACAAAGTCTCGGATAATATATATATATCTGCTTGTTTATGTGGGCCTTACGTCTTCTTGAACGCTTGAACTCTATGACTGAGGGTCATAGAGACTTGGGAAGTTTTCACCGATTTCTTCATGGGGCTATTTTGTAAGGAGGTCTCACAGATGAGGAGATGCCACTCCATAAACCTCATTTATTCATTATTTTAAGTAGAAATGGAGAAAATCCATCATTACTTTTACTATATCACAAACAGCAAAAATATCTCAGTAGACTGTAAAGTATCTTTGACATGAGAAAATATAGCAAGTGACATATGAAATGGGTGTTGAGGGAGCTGGCCAAAGCAAGGCTGCTTTTGACTTATCTTTGAAAGGTTATGGCAACTGAGGGAGGTTCCTGAGGACGTGGAGATTGTAGATGTCACTTCTGTCTTCAGGAGAAGGGATCTGGGAAATTTCAGGCTGGTCAGCCTCACTTTGATGCCTGAGAAAGTGATGGAGCGAATATTCCCAGAAGCGATTTTCAAACATGTTAAGGACAAGAGGATAACTGGGAATAGTCAGAATGGATTTAAGATGGGGAAATCAAGCTTCACCAACCTGATAGCTTTCTAAGATAAGATGACTGGCTTGGTGGATGAAGGGAAAGCAGCGGATGTTGCTTCTTGCCATTTTAGCAAGGCTTCTGACACCATCTCCCATAACATCTTCATACACAAGCTGGTAAAGTATGGCTTAGATAAACAGACAGTGAGGTAGACTGAAAACTACCTGAGCTGCCAGCCTCAAAGAGTTGCAAGCTGAAGTATGAAGTCCAGTGGGAAGCCAGTCACTAGTGCTGTACTCAGGGATCAATAGTGGCACTAATACTGTCGTTAAAGACCTGGATGGTTTGACCAAGCACACCCTCAGCATGTTTTCAGGCCATAGAAAATTAAGGAGGAATGGTTGATCCGCCAGGTAGATGGTTGTGCTGCCGTTCAGAAGGACCTCAGCAGGTTGGAGAAACGGGCCGATGGCAGTCTCAGGAAGCACAGTGTTGTGCACCTGGGGACGGATAACCCCAGGCACCAGCCCGGGCTGCGGTCTGACTGGATGGAAAGGAGCGTGGCAGAGAAGGACCTGGGTTTCCTTGGATTTCCTGCTGGACAGCAAGTTGCCCATGAGACAGCGATGCACACTCATGGCAAAGGCGACCAACGGGATCCTGGGCTGCATTAGGCTGCGTGTCATGAGCAGTTCGAGGGAGGTGATCTTTTGCCTCTACTCAGCACTGGTGAGGTCACCCCAGGAGTGCTGTGTCCCATTCTGGGCTCCCCCGTACAAGAGAGAGAGGGACAGAGTGGAGTGAGTCCAGCGAGGGGCTGCAAAGCCGACTAAGGGACTGGGAGCATCTGTCCTAGGAGAAGAGGCTGAGGGAGCCGGGACTCTTCAGACCACAGAAGAGCAGGCTCTGGGGAATCATATCAGTACCTCTTAGGCGTAATAAAGAAGAGGGAGCCGTGCTCTTCTCAGTGGTGCTTAGTGACAGGGCAAGAGGCAGTGGGAACAAACTGAAATACAGATTCCATTTAAACATAAGACAAAAACAATTTACTGTGAAGGTGAATGCTGGAACAGGTTGCCTAGAGAGGCTGTAGAGTCTCCATCATTGAAAAGTCACTCAAAACCCTATTGGACACAGTCCTCCTTTAGCTGAGCCTGCTCTGAGCAAGGCAAATTGACTTGATCTCCAGAGGTTCCTTCCAACCTTATCTATACTATGATTCTGTGATCTGTGTCTTAAGTAATCCTTTTAGATAAATTCATAGAATCACATAATCAGAGAATAGTTTGGTTTGGAAGGGACCTTTAAAGGTCATATATCCAATCCTCCGGCTGTGAGCAGGGACATCTTCAACTAGATCAGGTTGGTCTGAGCCCCATCCAACCTGACCTTGAATATTTCCAGGGATGAGGCATCTACCACCTCTTTGAGCAAAATTCCCTGTTGCCATGTAATGCGCCCTAATGCAAAGCTTTCTTTAACCCAGTATGATAGATATTTCAGAGAAAAACCTACTCTTCAAAATTCAATAGCAGTATTTTTCATGAACAAAATCATTCTGGTCCATTTCTGCTGGTTCTTCCTTAGTAGCTGGAGGAGAAAAGGATGTAGAAAAATGGTGTGAAAAGCCAATGTAAAGAAAGACATTAAAAAAACATTGTAAGTTGATGTTTAGTCTCACACCAAACTTTTGTATATTTTCTTGTGTGATGTATAGCAAACAAGTAACTTTCTGGCAATCCTGGTTAGAAAACATTGGATGAATGCATGAATAATTACTGTTGATGACAGTCTCCAGACAGCTTGATCACTCCCTCTCCATTTGTATTTTTACCTGATCTAAGCTAGACTTGTTCAAACAATTTTAATTTTTATGGATAATGTCTTTACAAAGAAAAGATTACTGTGTTTCCCTAAAATAATGCATTATAACCATAATGTCTCTGAGAATCTGCACTGATTGCCTTGTGACAGGCTGGAGAAAGTGTCTGAGCCCTCCCAAATCACTCAAAACTTGTCTATGGCTTTGGAATTTTTTGTGAAATCTTTGCTGCAGATGTTTCCACAGACCGTGAGAAACTGAAAATCTCCATCATGTGCATTTAGGCATGTCATTTTCCAGGGAAAAGTCTGACATAATAGCATCATGTTCTTGAGTTATTCTGCCAGTGTCCACCATGGTAATGACTTCTTGTGGACACATGATTTATACATCCAATTCAATCACATGAGCAATCCTATAAAAGGTGCATATTTTCATAAAAGTCTAATAGGGGTAAAAATCTCATAGGGCATTTTAGCATGAAACTGGAAAATGAGTTGCTGTAGATATGTAATCTCTTCTGCTGAAGTCATCATAACTGTTCTGTGGGATCATGAATGACTATATCTTTAGGAAATTGCATTTTATGCATTTAGGAAGGTGATGTCTAAGGAGACAAAGTATATGGCTGTATAAAATAACATGTAGATTTTCAAAGGAACTATAAAATATTAGCCCTTTGAGTAGGAAAGACCTGTTTATCATGTTATCAGGTCTTGTGCAGGATAAAGTGTTTCAGTAATCTTTCTAACATACTTTAAATATCTCAAGCTGTAGTCCTTTTAAAAGGACTTCCTTTGAAAAATTGTTAAACCGTACCAACCGACTGCTAGTTGGCATAAGTGAAGTTCTAACAGTGAGAAATATCTTTCTGAAACATATCAAATTGATTTCTGTTTGCTTGAAAGAGGTTATATCCCCTAGCAATTTTCATGTTTTCTATACATGGAGTGTAAGTTTTTATGTGAAATAAAAAAAATGGCCAAAAAATACATCAAAACATTTCTATTAATTCATGAAATTAAGAAAACCTTTTTACGTTTTCTCCTGTCACTGATTCCATTTGCTTTATTACTTTCAGCCTCTAGCCCACAAACTTGGTGGCACAATCAACAAACCCCTCAGTGGCTGTTTCATATCTGCTCTATTTGATTTCTGCACTCTGAGTAAATGATTAAGTTTTCATGCATTGGTTCAACCAAAATCTATGTTCACTCAACCACATCCTTTATTGATTACTTCTACTGCAAACAGTAGGCCAAGTGTGATATACATAATTGGACAGTTGTCAGGGGATGTGGGTGTTAACAGTCCTGTTTTCCCAATTGGAAACTGGAATCACCTTGATACACAAATATTCTGCACTGTTTCATTCTCATTCCTTGGACCGAGGAGTCCTTTTCTTCAGAATATATGTTTTTAACTCTCAAAGGTCTGGTTGAATGGATTTAATGATTGTACCATATAATGTGCTCTTCAAGTTGCACCTGTGCACTGCATATAGAAAACTAGAAAAACTGGAATTAATATTTGTCTAACACTTTAACCTTGTCCTTTAACTTATATAAATAACATGCTGTATTTCTGTGGGGAAATATTTGATTTTCTCTTCTTAGGAAAAAAATAAGTTTAAAAAAATGCATTTCTACTTCTAAAATTTAGGAGCCTTTTGACATTTGGCAAATGTTTACAGTACAGTATATTTAATATTCTCATGATATTAAAATACTTAAATTAGGAAACTTTAGTAAATCCAGCTCTGGTTATTGACAACTAAGCTTTACAGTAGCATGTACTTGAACATTTCAAGCATGTTAGTTTGTAGTTTTAGCATCCTTTTGTAGCAATCTAGCTCGTCTCAGTCACTTACAGATAAACACTGCAATATTGTAAATTTGCGGCCATGCGTTGCTGTGTTTCCTGTTCTGTGGCAGGCTCTACCCTGTTATAATTAGTCTCATAGCATAAGACAGGGAATTGCAGACTTCTGCCAGCTTTTGAAACCACATATCCCTAATACAGTTTAAAAAAAACATAATGTAAATAAAACTCAGTCAGTCATTTGCTGCAGGAATATAGCTTGGAGGTGTTTTAAAATGGTGAGAAAATAAATCACAATTCTTTACCACTTACAGGAACTTCTATTTCTGTGAATTTCTTAACTAAGACTGGATTTTCTCTCTTGCTTGGTGGCTTGATATTTAGCGTGCTACACTCCTACATTAGTGACTCAAGTTCATGGCTAATATTGAGGTCAGCTGCAGTAACACTTCAGCCTTAAAGGGCAAAAGAGTATAGTGCCTTACAAGCAAACTCAGATATCTATCTTATATCTTGTAATCATGCTGCAGAGATCTTATATTGTTAATATGACTGGCTTTATTAAAAGAAAGGAAATCTGCAAATGTTATTGTCAAAGTACATTAGCCAATTTTCAACTTAGATTCAGCTGTGACCTCAGGTTGCTCTGATCTCACTGGGATTTGGGGGTGACACCTGCAATCCGCAGTTTATAGGTTTGCCTGTGTGACTCCAGCAACCTTTAATCCACCCAGCCAAAGTGCCGCATTACACTCAGGGAAAGGCTGTCATCCTCAGAGCTAAGGGACGGCGCCCTTATGGAGCTGCTGCTGTTGCACCACCAGGATTCTAGAGCAAGAAATGGCAGATCTGAATAACAGGAGCACAAAAGGTCTTACTGAAAACCTAGCCTTCTTACCTCCTTCTCCTGATTTGTCAGGATGTGAGGTCTGGCTGTATTGAAAATGTTATCAGCTGCTCAGCAGAAAAAACACTAAAATAATGGAAACTCCAAAACCCCTGTAAAATCATGACTTGCGATTCCATTCTTAAAATGGAATGTGCCTTAAAATATGGCACAATATTCTGAAGAAGAATTTTGTTTTATTTCACTTGAAGGATCCAGTCTAGCCCTCAGAGGCTCTGAGTGGACTATTCTCATTGGTCTCAGCGCAGGTAGTGCCTAGGCAACCGTCCTGGAAACCAAGTCCAGTCGCGGATGAGTCATCACAAAACAAAGTTAGTTCAGAATCAGAGGGATAGATCTTCAGCATTTGGAGAAGCCATTTGAGTGAATATTTAATTTTGTCCCTGTCCTTCTCTTCAGTCAGGGAAAAGCAGCTGAAACTACTAAGTGCTTGGGAGAGTTTAAGAAGGCTGCTGAGAACGCTCATCTAAGCCAAAGCCTGGTGGATGCATGCATATTACTTGGCAATATTTACAATGAAAGAGTAAGTACTGGTTGTAGTAGTGATGTCAAACAATTGGGTTTAATTCATGGTAAAAATTTTATTTTGCATATGAGATGACCCAGAAGAATTTGATCCAGGTACAGCATTTGATCCATTTTACACGAGTTACCAAAGGAGGATATACTGTGTGACTGAACAAAATGTGCCTTAAGTTTTTTGGGAAAAGTGAAAATTTCACACCATATTTAACACATAGGGTTTTGTTCTAGAATGGGTGAATAAAACCTCCACATTCAGATCATGACAAACTTTCAGTGTTGTGAAAAATCTGCATCCAAATCAGTGTTGGGGTTACATATGCCCATAAAGCCATCAGTTAATGCAAATGATATTTAATTGTACTATACACTGAAATTCATGCTTTTTTAAAATGAGTGTATGCTACATTGCATACTAGTAAGTAGTTTTTAATCTTAGCTTGATTTCTTCTCTACATTCTGTCAACCAAACTTATGAAATGTATGCTAGCAGCGAATAGTTTGACAAAGGTCTGTGTTGATAGTGAAAGGGCTTTCGCTTCTATATGCCTCCATCCATTTCGTTGGCTTTGATTTGGCCTGTTTAAATCAATAGATAGGCAGCAATGGACAATATTAAGCTAGAGGTATCTAAGAAACTCCCTTTATCATAGTTTCTAAGGTCTTCTAAGGTGCTTCTTTCTGGCTCATGTGCCAGTCTCTGAATTGTTCCTCTGGGATGGAGACTGTAAGGGCCAACAGTTCTGTTGGCTGCTTGTCTTTGGTAGTGGTTTCCACGCTTGCTCTGTCCCTTACCACATCAGAGATGGAGCACTTGCACAGCAGTAGCACTTGGGTTTTGAAATCAGCAGGGTTAAAAACAGAACTGCAGAAGTGAAATATTCATGTTGAGCCCTGTAACACCTATTTTAGAGCTGAAATGCTACATGAAATTATTTACATACAATAAAAAATAAAAAGAATTCATTCTGCAGACTGGACTGTGGAAATTAGGAAACACTTTCACTATGGAAAAAAAAACCAGAAAAACCCTTTTTAAATCACCCTTTCTAGCTTCTGTTGCCTGTTTTGTGTTTTTTTTTTTTTGTCAGAATTTCCTTCTATGTATAATGTATTGAACAGACTACTTGTCCCTTTTCACTTACACTACAGCCAAATGCCTTTTTTTTCCTGGATTCCTCTTATAGAGAACTCCCACTATCAAAGATGGTGGCCCATTTTTGTTTCATAAACATTAGAAAAATTTCTTACCCTGTAATCTTACTCTGTTCTTAGCACAAATGCTGAATTTCCCATTGAAAATTAAGTTTTTAAGTCACTAACTTTCTGAAGTAATTTTAAAATGGATCTGAAACTTAGAAGAAAGTAGGGTGATGTGACACTGTGCTTAATTACTTAATTACTCCAATTTTGAAAAATAATTAACTAAATTCTGTTTAACTACTTTTTTATTTCACTGTGTCTGCCACCATTGCTAATAATTCTATGAGAAGTGATATTTTAAGAATTAACCTCTTTTTGGTTATTCTCTAAATTCATTTTCTCAGTTTGGAATTTGCTGCTTGAACTGGGATAGGGGTGTAGAAGGGAGGAAATGTAGTGACTTAATCTTATTAACTTACATAAAATATATAATTTAAATATACAAAAAAAAACCCTCTAGGTTTTACAATTCCCTATTTTCTACACCATTTTTTCTGCAAGGTCAGCAATGTTTACCAAAACTGAGTCTAAATTAACATTTCATATCTTGGATCACTGCCTGCTTGGTGTCAGCTATCATCGCTGGCATTCTCTAAGTCATTATTAAGATACTTTTATTCAACTCTGTGCTTCCCTGGGTGATACAATTTGCAGTAGTACTGTCCTTCTCATCAAATTAAATATATCTCTATTTATATCCAGATCTACCCTTGGGAACCCTTAGTAGACCAGGGCTATAACTTTTACTGTTCTTCCCAAAGTGACTTTGACCAAATTCACTTTGTTCTGTCCACGCTGTTGCTGTACCTCTGCGTTCTGTTATCTCACTATTCCATCACCATCACTGTCTGTCTTTAATGCTATACACTCAGTTCCTGCTTTCTAGTCATGCTTGTTTTACCCATCTGTTTCTTTTTTCCTAAAATGCCTGAATTTGTGTTATGCACAAGTATCAGGTCTAATTTCTCCCAGTTTGTTAGGTAGGTTGCTTACTTAATATGCAAACTCTGATGGAGTTAGCATGACACACTCTCTCATTTCTCATTTCACTTACAGCAAGTTTTTTAGTCTGATTTGCATTCCTCTCACTAATTGCATTACTTAACCTATTATAGTTCTCATGAGTATGGTAGGTTGATATTTCTGCTTTTTATCTATTATCCTACTGGTTATTGTTCTTTATTAATTACTGTGTCCTAATAGACCTAATTCTGCTTTCCTGCTGTATTAAACAAAGCCTAAAGACTACCTGAATTTCTATTACTCTCTTCTCTTTCTTTAATTACAGGCACATTTCAGCAGTCATACAAATTTTGGTCCCCAAAAGTGGTATCAAGTGCAACAGCTATCAGTTGGAGTCTCTCCTCCTGGTCTCCATACTCTATACAGAAGTGAATTTCGATCTTACTAAATCAAGCTGAGAGTGAAAGGATAAGACAACTCTGAAAATGTTTTCAGTCAGAGGTTTCTGCCATCAGGGCAGCAGAATTCCACACCAATGGGAGAACTGGAAGGTGTCTTCCAGGGAGCAGGCAGGCTATAATTAATGCTAATGATAGATATATAGAAACTGCCACAAAAAGTTTGTCTAGCTCTGACAATAGTCGGAACTAATTCCTTCAGAGTAAGGTAAAGGACGAACAGTTCCATAATGACTTGGTCCCAGGAGGACCTTTTTTTGCCTTGTCTTGTTTGTTGTGTTTTGTTTTTACTCACAAGGATGTCCAGCTTTCTCCTTAGTAGGCTTGTGAGCAAGATTGGCACCATAAATGAACCATTAAGAGGAGAGAGCTACCTGTACTTATTTTTCAATTTCTTGCTCTTCAGTTATATTCAGTTCATCCCTATTCTTCTATTGTAGTTGGTTTCAGTCAATTTCCACTTTATATGTGCTGTCTGACGTATATTAACTTTTAGTAGTTTTATTAATATACTGTATATTTACATAGATTGTATCTACTCTAGCTTTCTCCACTGCACTCTTGCTGAATCCTCATGTTTTATTTGACCTTACTAGATATTACAGCTGTTTTGCATTTAGGAGAAGCCACTGCAGAGCTGCCCGTGTTATTTCAAGGCCACCTTCCTGAGCCTGAGTTAATGAGAATCCACTATATATTACAAATAGTTCAGGCAGTATGAATTACCTCTCATTTTCTAAATAATTAATTTAATTTGCTATCACATAACCACTCAGATATTATTATTAGATCCCTTTGAAATTCCTCAAAGCCTTACAAAAACCTTCCTTTTTTAGCTTTTTGACAATCTTGGCAAAATTGTCATCTGATTCTTTTTCTATAATGATTAGACGGTACTGATACTAGAGCATAAAGTTATTGCACACTGTCACATATAATACCAAAATAATAAATGTACTACCTTTCAAGCCTGGATTGTACTACATAGTTTTAAGGAGAGATGTAGCTTATTTCCCAGCAATTCAATCTCTTTGTCTTTAGATGTCTTAAAATCTTTTATTTGTGCTCTGTTTAGGTCTGGTCGTATGCTACTTTTTAGATTAGAAGCTTGCTCCTGCAACTCTTCTTTTGACTCCATCTCTGATGGTAACTTAAAGTAGCTTCATGGCAAAGAAGAAACATGCAAAATCTGAATAAATATACCAAGAAATATTTTAGCTTTTCAGCAGTATCCTTCAGCCTGTCATGGTTGTCCCTAGTTTTCTCTTTATTCCTCTTTGGTCCAGAAGTTGAGGAGTTTTCTTTCTACATTTCACATAAAAAGTAGTTCTTGTTATACTTTGTTAATTCCTCTTAATGTATTATCTGCTGTAGTTTATACTCTTTTTTACTGGATTCATGAATGTTGGATTTCTGTATTCTGCAGAATAAAGAGATAAATTATTTGGGTTTTCTATTTAGCAACCTCTGGCTTCTATTTCTCCTATTGTTTATATTTTTATGATTAGGAATATCTTTGTTTTTTGCTAGACCCCTTCTTCCCCCTGTAGGTTTTAATTTCTGTTCTTTTCTGTCCTTTAGGTCCATCATTTCATTATCCTGTTTTTCCCATTTTTAAGATTTCTTTTCTAAAATTTAGTATCACAGCAGTAAACTAGGACCTTTCCCCCCACAGAGATGTTAAACTTAATGAAACAATAGTGACAATTTTTAAATGGCCTGACTGGAATCAATATTAACACTTAGCATTGATGTTCTTAGATTTGTATGTTCAAAATACTACACAGACAACCAAAAAACATTTCTGTTCCTGAGAAAGGTATGAGCAGTGTTACCTGGATTCTAGAGGTTAGGAAACAGCAAGTGAGAGTGATTTGCTTAATACCATGCCATGAGTCATTTTGTGGGCTGGCCTCTCAGCTGCAGCGTCTGTGAGGTGCCATAGGACCAGGCTCTAATGTCAAGGTAAGATACAGGTGACTACAAGTAGTTTTTACAATTCTTTTCTTTTTTTCTCTTCTTTGCTAGGGGAACTATAATGAAGCTTTTGAATATTTCAGTCAGGCTTCTGAGGCAGCAAAAACTTTAAATAATTTGCTCTTAGTGGATGAAACAAAGACTTATTGTGGTATTGCAAAGGCTCATAAAATGATGGTGCCATTTAACAGCCATATAGAAGCAGAAGATCCTGTCAGCCTCAAGTACCTGCTGGCATGGAAGGAGAACAGAAGTGACATGTGCACTGACCCTCTTACAGTCGGTAAGACATTGGTTATGAAACACATTAGTGCTGTATTGTCCTCAACAGTTAATTCATTTTTCTTGTAGAGTTTTATTAAATTATTTCCTGGCTTTAATCTTTGTACTGAATGGAGGTTAGATTTACTCATTTGTGTGCTTATTTTAAAGGCTGAATTAAATAAGTTTAAATACAATATAGCAGGGAGAAACAGTTAGTAGTAGTTGCTATGGATGGTAACATTTTTCAATGCTGTTATCTAAAACATCACAGTTATGGGCAAATAATGATGTATTGGTTTAGTCAAATATCATTATTTTAACCTTTCAAGAAAAATAATAATCTTCATTTGTAGTCAGTTTTTCAAGTGCATCCAGAAATAAGTTCGCTGTTACTAGGAGTAAGAAGTAATTTCTGCTTGACATAGTTCTGAATTCAGAAGAACATGCTGCTTTATTTTTGGCCTCCTTATGCTTGATATTGAAGGGGAAGAAAAAAAAGCGACGCTATGATCTCTTCACTGTATTTCCTTGTCTCAGATGAAGAGTAGAGGAAGACTTTGCGTGGTGTAGATCTCTTTCTTCATGGGTTAATTTTTCTTTACTTTTTTTCCCCGGTACTGTATGTTAATACAAGACAAACTGAATTATGCATTATCTCCACGTATTGATGGTATTAAACTGTATTGTACTGAGGACGGAAAAGGGATAAGTCTACTCAACCTTAAAACTTTCCTCTCTGTGTTCCTGTGGAGAGCATGAATCTGGAGCACAGTGGAAATAAATGATAGTGAGGCAAAGTCATAATATGGAGCTTCAGAGTTATTGTGTCCAAATTCCCTCGGTTATCATACTCTGAAAGACAAATAGCTGCTTCTTTGCTGTTTTCTTGTGTATCTCCTTTCATAGAATTGGAACAATTAAGTATAACTTCAATTGTGAGTTTTATATATAGAAGAAGTAGTTAATAGTCTGCTAATTGAAGATGTTAGCGGTTTAACAGGAGCCAGGATACCAGAGGCAACACCGAAAGCAACTGAAAATTGTGGAACAAGGGCATTCATCGGCATGCAGAAGTGATTACAAATTAGATAGCACTGTTTACAGTTCCAGTGACAGTAACAGGGCAGTTCTTTCTCAATGATAATGTGTTTCTTTTTCAATGTATTTATGATTTTTGCCTCGGTGAGTGAATATCCAGCACACTCACAGATTTTGTTGGCTGGAAGACTTAATTGGTTGCATGTCTTCTGCAAAGGATAGTATGTTTCTAGACCTGTAGTGCAGATACCAAGAATTCCAACAGAGATAGTCAAAGAAGAATCCAATGTCAAGCCATGAAATATATGCATTTCATATGAGGATCATTAGCTGTAGCTGATGTAAATGTAAAGCTGGTGTAGATGATGAGGCTAACAAAATTCAACAATGGCAGCAGCAAAAAAACAGGAGCCTTGAAGAGATAGGATGATCTTTGTATCTTCAACATGTATTTTACTACTTGCACCTAGAGAGGTTTTCTGTTGAACTGTTACACATTGCTTTCTTCGGCCAGTTGTGAAACTGATTTATATCCTGAAATGATATGTGCCCCTTTAAGCTCAAGCTTCATGCTCCCCTTTAACAGTACTTTAGGGATAAAAAGAGTATGATTAAAACAGCCCTTTATGTCCTGGCAAGCATGGTACCAGAAACGAGTTTTGCCTGCTGAGATTCTCTTCCTTCTGTGTTTCTGTGTAGTTTACCCTCTGTTACTTTTGGTATCACAGTTTTCATTTTAGTTCCAGTTAACTCCAGGAACCCTGTGGCTACTGCATATTTAGCAGCTCTTCCAGTTCAATATCATTCTTCTCATTAGTGCTCCAAGCTTACTCTCATGATACCCAGATTACATCCAGGAAAACATAGTGTCACACTGTCAGCACAATCTGTAACATTCTTCATGTTTTGCATGCCAGATTTCTCGTTAGTACTGGCATTACATTTTTAATAACTTTGTCTGGCAAAACATGACCTGGCATCAGTTCAATATTAGGATTTGCCAGCTTTGAGTCTCAGGTACAGCCTTTATCCTGCCGCTCAACATCGATAATCTACTAGATTTTTCTCAGTCTTTTTGAGGATAAAACAGCTAGACAAGATACAATGGTAGTTCTTAATCTGCAGGGGAATTTAATGAAAGGAAGAAGGAAGGCAATAACTTTATTTCTAACTGTTCCAACTGAATAATTTTTCTGTGAGAAAAAAGTAAAAGTAGTTTCTGTATTCTCAGGCAAAAGAAATACTTAGGCTAGTGGAGGAACAATGACATTTAAATTCAAGTACTGTCATATACCTTATGTCTTTCAACCAAGGCTTATTTTCTAAATCAGTCATTTCAATAACCAGGCAGGAAGAACCATTAATTACTCAATTTACCTCAACATTTATTAATAAAATGGATGTTTTGACCAAAGTTGTCATGGACAACAGGGATGGCATTGTTAGAAAACAGTGTTTAGAAATGCGAAGGAGAATGTGTTTCTGCCTGCTGTGTTTGACTCAGTCACCTGACTTCACTTACAGGAGAGTTAGTTATGCCATTATGAGATGCCACTGCAAGAACAAATACATTTTTATTGATTGTTTTATGTTTAGTCAAATGTATAAAAAAATACTTATCAGCAGAATCAGTAGGCAAAAATGACTTGTGACTCCATGTTAAAGCCTGAAAAGAAACCCACAGCAAGACTAACAATGTCTGATGAGAAAATATTTCACAGGTCTTTCACTAAATAATGTCCTGACTTGCTACCTTCTAGAAGGGAGAAGAATAATTAGAGGAGCTATAGGCAGGAAAACTTTTAATCATATTTTGGATATTGATTACATTAAATGTTGACCAGAAATTGTGTTTTCTGTGAGTCTGACAACTCTCAGTCCAGGTCATTGCATCTGGCAGGGCTGTGCCTCAGCAAGAGACCTCAGATGCTTGAAATCTTCTAAAAACTTTTAAGGGTAGACTTAAAATGTGCATTTTTTCCTCATACTCAGTTATTTTCTTGAGAAATGTTGTGTGCTTTTGACCACAACTTAGATTTTCATTTCTTGACTTTGGAGAACATTACCAAATTGACACATTTTACCATTGGTTTTCTGTGTTTATTTTGTTGGGTTTTTATAATAGCTACAAATGCAGCATAAACGATTGTCTTACCCATAACATCAATTGTGAAGTCTTATGATCAATGGAATTATCTTGTACCGTAACTTCAGCATGATCAGGACTATTAGTAGCATTCCACACTCGAGCAGCCTTCAACGTGATGTAAAATGCATGCACCAGCTAAAACAGTAGCTTGGAAAATACAATCCAATAATCTTTTGTCCTTACTCCTAAACATATAGTCCTTCAATATTCTTTCTCCAGCTGCCTCTCATAGATGTATGGAGTGGTACATTCTATAATGTGAATGTGTCCCTCTTGTTGTGTTAAAAAGTTAAATTGTCATACTACCAATTCATGTTTTTAAAAGCTCTTTACAATGTTTTATAGTAATTTTTTCTGTATAAGATGTGACTAGCACATAATTGTTAATGTGTTGAAGAATAGAGGTCTTACCAGGTGAATTTTAGGTTGAACTTGTGTGTGTCTTTGTCATTCATTAATAAAAGGATTATCCCTAAAGAATAGTAAAGTCAGAAGTGAGATATGAGATCAAAGATTATATTAAACAAATTCTGTTAACATTTCTCTACTGTAACTTACTGCAGCCATGTAATTTATGGGCCATTTTGGTAATAGTGTCCAACAGTAGAACAGTCTGCTTCGTAGTGTGATAAACTGCTTTTTTACTGTCTCCTCTTTCTGAAGTACACTAATTCCAGCAAAACTTCTAACATTACAAATCTTGTCTTTCCTCCATTAATAAATTATACTAGTTACCTCAAATGCATGCTAAATAAAACTGTTATGCCATGGCAATGTACCCAAAATGCTTGACTGCACTTTAGCAAATCAAAACCAATCTTCATCAGGAATGTGTATTATAAATTATACTTGTATTTGCCCAGTAAATGTTCATCAGTGGTAGCAGGTTTTTTGATCTGAGAACATTTGAGAGAAAGAAGAGATATGGTGCACTGATCAAAACTACAAAAATAGGAAGTCTTTGTACCTTGCGCAGATATACATCCATAAAATAGTTCTTATATGACATCAGTGGAAAGGTGGAGGCTTGTGTTGGCAGGTTCCTTTCACTGCATATTTTGTATCTAAAGCTCTGTCATAGATTTTGGTGATTCATGATACTGATGTGGGACTACCAGAATTGTGCATGTGCTCCCTCAAAGCCACTGTTTCTGTGTCTGTAACATTGTTTGGCTCATTTATTACTTTAGTAAGGTCTGTTCTGCAGTTAGCATGTACAGCAGGCATATATGTAGGCTTGTATGGGGACTAAAATTAGCATGCAGTCTTAATATTGTCTTTTAATGTGTTTCTTCTTGATAGTACATTAGTGGGTTTTGCAACTAACTTGCTGAGTAAAGATCATTAGATGTATACACTGTCAGTGACAAAGTAGCTGGACTAGATTTGAGCAGGCCACGATGATCTTCCCAATCGCTGCTGTAAAGCAGATGGGAATGATTCAGACCCTCGTTTTGGGAGGTGGAGAGCATGTCCACTCCCAGCAACCTTCTGGGGCCCTCCTCCCTCTCAGCTGTCTGTTAGCTGTGCAAGAGTCTGGAGATGGGACCTGTAATCGACTCTGCTTCAAATTCTGTATGCTGGTGATTTATGTCAATAGCAAGTTATACAAACTGAGAGTTTATTTCATTTTTCAGAATATATTGTTAATATTTCCAAAAATAATGAGGAATTAGAAGGATTTTGGAGACAGATTTTGGTATTTTCTCAGAAAATATAGCTGAACATCAAATAAGGGAATTATACACTTGTTCACACTGTTAAATAAGAACTATGAATTTAAATTATAGAAAGGAGGTGTGTGACCAAGTATAGACTTGTCAGATGGCTTCTGCGCATTTTTGTGTGGTTTATCAAATAGAATAATTTGCTCACTTCTCAAAAATACTGTGGTTAGAAATGCCAAAATATATGCATTTAGGAAAATGATGGGGGGGGGGGGGGGGGGGGGTGGGGTGCAGGGGCAGAGGTTAGAGGTTGTTCTGTCATTGGGTTTTTTTCCTCAAAATTTTCTAGACTTGTGCTGCCTCTTCTTATTCACATCACATAGCACTCATCAGTTGCTGCATTTTAGCTTGTCTTAATTTTTTAAAAATCAGTCTTTTTTTGTACTGCTGTATCTTTTATATTAATTCAAAATACCTTAAGTAAATGTTCAAAAATAGCATGCTTACATATAGATGTTAATGACATGGAATAGGTGTTTCAGAAAATCAGCTTATGTGGTTCGTGTATGTTATTTATTGTTAATTGACATTTGGTTTTTAAGTATTTGATTAAGTCTGCTTAGTGCTACACTGATATTTTTAGAAAATGAGAATGGTTATTGCTTGAACTACAGAAACAATGAAGTATGAAGAGAAGAACTGAGGTAACAGGAAGTGTTTCGACACATTGTGATCAGCGGCTAGACACACCAGAATTTCAGTGAAGAGTCTGACAAAGTAGTTTAAACATTTGTGTCTTTTTTTCCTTGAGTGCAGTAGCCTGTTCTGTTTTCTGCTGATGGCTGAAGTTTGCCTGAAAAAGCATGGGAGCGGAGTGCTGATATTTAGTGTTTTGGTTCTTTGTACAGGTGCGCTCCCCTTCCCCCCCGCCCCCCCCCCCATGATTTCTCTTAAAATACCGCCTTAAAAAATTGGGAATTACTAGACAGGATCAGATCTAGGCCAGGTCTGTGGGTTGGCAGTACTAGATTTGAGAAGAAGGTTCGTAGAATATTTTAATGTTTAACCATGGAATAGTGTGTTAGGAGAAGTTTCTTCATAGTCTGTGCCGAGAGTTGGCAGTTTTTGTATGTCTGAGTGGCGTTATAACTTCAAAAAGTTCACTATCATCTTGTCTGATGTGATTGTGAGTGTTCTTGTCATATACAGTTATATTAAAACAT